TCCACAGGCCTTTTGGGGACACCCAAACAAAATGGTTTGAGTTTTGGACGTACAAGCTGCACTAAAACATATACTGCTTGTCACGTCTTTTGGAATCCCATCTGCAAATTGTTACTTAAGGCACGTCAAGGCAGAATGGTCATCTAGCCACCAGCCAGTGAACACTATACCATGTAGCCAGGTACTGTCTTGTGCAACATGTCTTCGACCGACTTTAGTTTTGAGGATTTCCACGAAGCCTGCCCAGGCTTATTGAAAGGTACAACTTGGCACAAGACCTGGTGGACGATTGCATGCGCCGTCTCATGGCGGTGTTCCTTGGCTGCTCTAAAGCGCTTGTGAAGCGAAGACCTCATACGTGGGTTTGGGGAAGGAGAATCGGGTTTTGGGGGTACTCTTTATCATGGAAGTCTATCAAGGAACCCCCGAGGAACAGATTACTGTTTCGTTCCGACTCCTGTATCACCCGAGCTTGTCCTTGTCCATGTAGTCGCATTCGTTTTGGGTACCTTTCAATGACAGAGACCAGCTGCACTCAAGCTGCAGTCGCCGTCTCGAAGTTCGATTCATCTCACCCCGAACCCAACCCTGAACCGGAGACCCACACCCTACAGCCTGGTCTTGTTTTTGAGTCCTGAAGTTTCCAAAGTTCCCAATCACACCAAAAGTACAAACAAATATCAGAGCCAACATACTAGTAGTAGACCTGTGAAGCCCGACTTCGACTGTCGGCATCTCGAGATTTTCGATGAAATAGCAAAAGCCGTATCAGGAATAGTAGGTACGCAAAAAGTCACACGAGCAATCAGGAATGAAGGGAACGGTGCCACAGTAAGTAGCCCCATGAGCCGTGAAGCTTTACATGCATCATCACTCGCGGAATATTTCTGAAGCATGCGCGGTTTTCGGGCCTATTTGGGTGTAGGTAAAAAGGTACTACCCTCTTGCTTCCTGGCCACTGTTATGGCTACGACAAATGTTATTTCCCTGTGTTGCTGGTGCCGGCGACAGCTGTCGTCGCATTGGTGGTCGAAAGTCGTATATACTCGTCGCTGACGGCCGTGCGATTCTCGTCGTGGGTGCCATGTTCGGTGTCAGAGGCTACTGCTGTACATCAGAAAACCATGTGCTCCAGCCGTGATGACAGTGGTTGTAGTGGTGACGGGCAGGCCAGCAAGCTAGCCTGTGCTTGTCGCGAACTTGTTTTAACCAGGATGGCGGCAACCAAAATTTAGTTCCCCAATAGCCAACCTTTACACTTTTTGAGTTAGTATAATTCAGTAGGAATCTGAAAGTTTAACCTTTAACTTCCGTTGTTTTTTTTGGAGAGTAAGCAAAACGACGCTTCTTGCCGTTGAATTCTGTTGGCCTGGCTTTCTGGTGGCATCTTGAGGAAGCCGCCACCATTGCCCCCACGACCCACGGTGACGAGGGCACCGTTGGAGACCTGGACCCGGCAACATGTCGTGTCACTGGGTTTAGGGGTTTAGGGGTTTAGGGTTTAGGGTTTAGGGTTTAGGGTTTGACTTGGTACAGGGCACATCTTCCTGAACCGAGGCGTCTACATTCCTCCACCTCATTCAGGGGTGTGCAAGCCCATAGTGCTAGCTTGAACGCAAGAGTCGAGTTATTCAATGCGGCATCACCCCATCCAATCGGCACTGTAAGGTTTGAAGGACAGGCCTTGTCGCGCCCAAGAGACCCAAGGCATTCTAAGGGCTTGTTTCGACACTGAGTATTCCCGTAAATACTGAACCCGAGAATAGGTTCTGCAAGGCTTGCTTGATTCAGAGATATTCAAATCATATTCTTAGTGGCTGAGTAGGTAACCTTTAACCTTTTGGGCAAAATATCATCATTGCATAATTGAAAAGGTTAACCTTTTTTGGGCTAGGGTACTCAGCCCCTAAGTACCATGTATCCAGCAACGCCACTTCGGTTCAGCTCTTACTTCCCGACCTCGACTCCGACATCAATCCGGGCTCCGGGGGTTTAGGGTTGAGGGTTTAGGGGCCTGAAGAAGTAGAAATATTTTATCTTGTAGTCACCTGTGCAGTGATAGCGGAGTATTCCCCAAACCCTGAATAGTGAAGTACATGAAGCCCCACAGCAACCCTTCTAGAATGTATTTATTTAGGGAGCCCTTGAAAAGGAACCCTATTTGTTATTATTCAAAGGAGCCCTTAAAAGCGGAACACCCTTCTAATTAGTCAGCGCCCCAAACCCGAAACCGTAGAACCTAAACCCTAAACCCTAAACCCTAAACCCAACCCTAAAAAAAAAAACTAAACCTATGACCCTAAACCCGTATCACTCCCCCCAGGCCGCAGAGTGGCACAGCGCAGCGTGGAGCAAACCAGCTCGCCAGATGAATTGGAAATGGGCGATGATGCGGTTCAGGATTTAGGGTTTAGGATCTAACAAGATACACTATGCCATGATGTAGTATTGTGATATGCTGAATTATGAATATTTTTGTATGATGGTACACTGTAGTATAGTACAATGAGATTTAAGGTTCAAGCCTAGGTACAGGATGTAGGGTTTATGGTTTGCTTGAGGGCTTGTTGGCTGATGTCGGAGGTTACGGTTGTGTCGACCTCAACCATCAAAGAGAGACACTTGAGGTTGCCAAAATGATCTTGATGTGCCATATCTGCAGGACACCTGACTAGTCTAGCACAGCTTCGCTTGAGCATTGCAAAATACGGTTTTCTCAATAGCCACAAGCGCGGACAAGACTGCAGCAACAACAAGTTGAAGCAGTGTGGCGTTGGCTATTGTTGCGGCGGCCACCTGTACCATTGAATACTGTCTCTACAGGCATGATTGCCACATTGAGCCTGAAGCCAAATCCCGATGCTCTCAGCTCCAGGCAGTTCTGGCACATGTATGAACCTGTCTCTTGTGCGTCAACTGGCAGAAACTCCTGCAGCCCCCTACAACCCAGTACCCCCAAGGCTCCAGAAGCCTTCGACAAAATCCAAAATGTGCAGAATTCCGTTTTGGATCCGCTTAGAAGGTTTCCTGTAGGTTTTCAGGAACAGTGGCCACCTGAAGCAGATTCATCTGCCGACTTCAAAAAGCCTGTCGACCAGGGTTTAGGGCTCAGGGCCCTAAACCCTAAACCCGGAGCAATAAATCCTAAGCCCTAAACCCTAAACCCTAAGTTCCCTAAACCTTAACCCCTAAACCCTAAACCCCTAAACCCTAAACCCTAAAGCCCTAAAAGAAGGCGACGTCCAGCCACACCTCAAGGTCCAGGCCGGCCCGGAGAAGTGGGATTTGCCAGATTGTCATTGCGTCCAGGGGGTCCCCGAGTGTAGATCCTATAGGGTTTGGGGTTTAGGGTTTAGGTTTAGGGTTTGGGGTTTTGGGTTTAGGGTTTAGGGCTCGGCTCTGGCCCCAACGGTTTCGAG